TGTCTCAGCGAGCACGGCTGATGCCTCACCGTGGGCATGGGTAGATGTCTCATCACTAGGCATAGCAGACTGTCTCAGGAGGACGGTTACGATGTCTCATCACTAGCATAGCGATTCTCACGAGCACGGTAAATGTCTCATCACTAGCATAGTCAGATGTCTACGACGGCACGGTAAATGTCTCATCACTAGCATGGCAGATGTCTCACGAAGGCACGGTAGATGTCTTCATCCACTAGCATTAGCAGATGTCTCACGAGTGCACAGTAACATGTGTCATCATCTAGGCCATAGCCAGATGTCTCACGAGGGACAGTATTAAATGTGTCATCACTAGGCCCAATAGCAGGATGTCTCACCGAGGCACCGGTAAATGTGCGTCATTCACTATGCAATTAGCAGAGTCTTCACGAGGCACGGTAGATGTCTCATCATTTGAGGCATAGCGGATGTCTCACGAAGCCATCGGAGATGTCTCATCACTAGGCAAAGCAGACGTCTCACGAGGAATGGTAGATGTCTACTCACTAGGCCATAGCTAGATGTCTCACGAGCACGGGGTAGTGTCTCATCACTAGGCATAGCAGTATGTCTCACGAGGCACGGTAGTATGTTCATCACTACGGCATAGCAGATGTCTCACGAAGCGACTTGTAGATGTCTCATCACTAGGCCATAGCCAGATCGTTCACGAGGCACGGCTAGATTCTCATCAACTAGGCATAGCAGGATGTCTCACGAGGCACGGTAGATGTCTCATCACTAGGGAGAGCAGATGTCTCACGAGGCACGGTAATGGTCTTCATCACTAGGCATAGCAGATGTCTCACGACGCACGGTAGATGTCCATCGACTATGGCGATTGATGATGTCTCACGAGGCACGCGGTAGATGTCTCATACCACTAGCATAGTCAGATGTCTCACGGAGCCACGGGTAGATTGTCTCATCATAGGCATAGCAGAATGTCTTCACGAGCAGCGGTAGATGTTTCATCATAAGCAGTAGCAGATGTCTCACAGGACGGTAATGTTCATCACCGTAGGCCATAGCAGAATTCTCCATTCGTCATCGTCGCGGGTTAGTTCTATAAGGTGTATGCGTTCAGTATGGCTTCACCTCCACCGCTGTCACGTGCTGCCGCTACCCTACGTGCCGAGCAGCGTCAGGACAAGTGCAACGAAGAACGTGCTGTGGTTATCTCGCAGAAAAACCCTGTCCGCCCGTTCGACCAGTCACTATCGTTGGCGCGTGCTGTGATGACCTTGCTGGTTTATTCGTGGTTAGGACAGCTCGTCAGCGCCCGTCAACCGTGCGGACGGTGTGCATCTGTGCAGCGCTGTCTTCTGGCGGCCGATCTAGCGACAGACATCGAGCGACTCGCTAGAGAGATGGCGCTCACGGAGCGCCGTATAGGCACGGCCGGACACCGCGAGGTCTGTGATAGGGATGCAGCGTTCGCGTCGTAGTGCGTCGTGATTCGGATCCCTCCTCCGATTGTTGCCGTGGTTACGCGTTGTCTTACCGACCCGCGCGGTGTAGGCATTCTGATTGATGTTGATAAGAGTAACAGCTTCCATCGCGGATCGGATCAGCTTCGCCGTGCGTCGGTGTAAGCGGAACGGTTCGACGTTCGGATCGGAATTCGCGGTCTTGTTGTTGACGGCGCCGGTTTCCGTTTGGAACGTTTCGGGCGAGGTCTTCGGCCAGACTGATATGCGACGCGGTGTTGCCCGTGCGTCTGTGGCCATAAAATCGAGTTCTCCGTAGGAGTGCTAGAAGTAGTAGGTGGTGAGGGGAGTTGTGCTGGGGTCTCCTAGGAGGCTGCTAGAAGTTATAGGAGTAATAGAAGGAGGGGAGTGCGCTGGGGTCTCCGTAGGAGTGCTAGAAGTAATAGAAGGAGGGGAGTGCGCTGGGGTCTCCGTAGGATTGCTAGAAGTAATAGAAGGAGAGGAGTGCGCTGGGGTCTCCGTAGGAGTGCTAGAAGGAGTAGGAGGGGAGTATGCTGGGATCTCCGTAGGATTGCTAGAAGTAGTAGGTGGAGGGGAGTGTGCTGGGGTCTCCGTAGGATTGCTAGAAGTAATAGAAGGAGAGGAGTGCGCTGGGGTCTCCGTAGGAGTGCTAGAAGGAGGAGGAGGGGAGAATGCTGGGATCTCCGTAGGATTGCTAGAAGTAATAGAAGGAGGGGAGTGTGGTGGGGTCTCCGTAGGAGTGCTAGAAGTAGTAGGTGGAGGGGAGTATGCTGGGGTCTCCGTAGGATTGCTAGAAGTAATAGAAGGAGGGGAGTGTGGTGGGGTCTCCGTAGGATTGCTAGAAGTAATAGAAGGAGGGGAGTGTGCTGGGGTGCTCCCAGCATCCGTCGAGAGGTTAGTGATGTAGACGGGTCTGTCTCTCCGCCTTGTCACAACGTTCGTCTGCGTGGTAGGGTCGTCGGTGGTTGACACTGACACCGGGCTGCCACCTGGTGGCGCGTGCGGGCGTGAACTTCTTAATGTGGTGTGTGAGGGCGCGCGATTTATTGCTCGTGTGTTCGCCGCTCCACGTTCACTAACTTCTGTGCCGGTAGATGGCGTTGTAATTCTATCGGTGCGCGCGAGTGCGTCTGTGAGGGAGTTTAGTGATGCGGCTTGCTGCTTCTCTCTGCTGCTCTCCTGCTCTGTGGCGACGTCCGCCGTGGCGTCGCTCAGTCGATCGGGGTCACCGAACAACAGTCGTACGTCGTTACCAATGTCATCTGAGGTGCGGATGGTGGCATGGTTTTGCGCATGAGTTACCACAGTGACGCGTTGGGCAACGTATGACGTCACTACTGTGTCTGACGTCATTGTTGTCGCTGTGGGCATGCCAGCGCGTGGTGCGGTGTCTGACGTCACTGCTGTGTCTGACGTCACTTCTGGTTCATGCGCTGCAGGCGATTTCTGACGTCATTGTTGTCGCCGTGAGGCATTCCAGCGCCGCGGTGCGGCTGTCTGACGTCACTGCTGTGATCTGACGTCACTTCTGTCATGCATGAGGCCGAATTCTGACGTCATTGTTGTCGCGCTGTGGGCATGCCAGCGCGCGGTGCGGCTGTCTGACGTCACTGCTGCCATCTGACGTCACTGCGTGTGTCGGACGTCACTGCCCGCGTCTAATGACACTGGGCGTGTCTGACGTCACGGGTGGCGCTATAGGCCATGTCAACGTGCGGTGGGCGCGCCGGTCGGAAGCTGTAGTCGCCTGATTTCGAGCGGCTGACTGGCCTTCCCGCCGTCCTTCGCTACGTCACCATAACTCGCAGTCGCCATCTTGCGCTCGATCTTCGACCACAACGCTCGCTAGATGGCAGTGAAGGCACTGTGGGTGTTGCGTGGCATGCGCAGTCAGGTGGCAGCTGACGCGCGCGTGTTGTTCGTCCGTAGATGAGTAGGTGGCATTGAACGCGTACGCCGGTTCTTCGTGGATGGCAGCAGCCGGTGAGAGCGTAACAACCCGTTCGGCAGCGGTAACGCGGGTGATGACGTCTGTGGTGGCGGCGGTGGCGCGCCCCCACATCACGTCCCTGCACCATTGTCCCCTCATCAGTAGCTGCAGCTCAGTCGGGTACTTCGG